TATGGTCTTGTTTAGGGATCTGTGCCTTTGTGCATACAGACATCTGACTGCTGAGTAGTGATTGTGTTTTTCAGCAATAGTGTGCACCCTTCATTTACAGAGAAAAGAAGGTCAGGGAAAAATCTGTAGATGGAAAAATCTCCATACAAGTTCTTTGTGCATTTGTCTTTTTTTCTGCTTGTTACTTTGCACTTTTTGTTAGAAAATGTTTATTTACTATTTATTCAGGTTTTTTAAGGTATCTAATATTTTGATACTTAATTTCCATGAAATTTCCAAAAATTAAAAGTTTGTTGTCATTTGGAAGTGTGTAGGCCTTCTTGTATTATTATGCTGTTACATTATGATTATATATTCAGTGGCATAAAATGGTCTTTAAAATGACAATAATATTGCTTATTGCAATTATTTCTGGGGCAATATATCGCACAACAAAAAGTTGTTATCGTGACAAGCCTAGTTGGCAGCACTGTTTGTTTAGAAGTGATTACCACATCCTCTTGTGCAGAGTTAGAAAAACCTGCAATGGGTTTGTAGGAGGAAGTAGAAATGATCCCAGCCAGGTAACATCAAATTCAAACCCATTAATGCCCACATAGTGGTGAACTTAATGTATATCCTGTTTCTCAATGTAGTCAACAATACATATTTTCAAAATCGACTATGTATTCCATTTATTTTTTCCCAAATTTTGTTTTATTTTTTTCCAAATTCCATTTTTTCAGTTTAAATGTTTCTTGATTCATTTTTTTCCCATTTAAAATTTGTTTTAATGGTTAAATTTAATTTTATTCTTCATAAAGCATGTCTAATTAATTGAAATCATTAAACTTACAATTAAACAGCAATTTATTAAAAGTTTGACAAAAATAAAATTTTTAAGGCCCTATGAAATGTTTTGTTTTTCTCAAATTCAGTTTTATTTTTACCAAATATTTTTACCATAATATTTTTACCAAATATTATTAATCAAAAGCATCGCTAATTAATTGATTTTAGAAAAATAATAATAATAAAAAATTATTATTCGTTTATTTATGAATTTTTTCCCAGAAATACTGTGTTGTGTGTTAATTTTTTTCTGCTAAAGTTCTGGTAAATAATTATTCTGGTAAATATTCCTTTTAAAAATAATATTTTAATAATAATTTTATTACTATCATTGCATTAAGTAATATATTTCTGTCACAGTTTCTTCAAGTTAAACCGAACCGAATGAGTTGCCGTGAAAAGTTTAAGTTCCTTTTTGTATATGATAGGATGCTAGTTTTTCTCAAAAGAAATGGTAAAATGCTCATGAAGTGACTCTCAGAGCAGTTCTAGAGATTATGTTCATGTACTCATATGTTGAGGCAGCAGAGGATGAAAATACCGCGAGCGTCACTTGCGCTTCAGTATGTGTGTAGTAAACAAAACCGCATGTCTGCGCCATTCATTCACACAGAGATGCACAGAACATGCAGGATTCATATTTAAATAGTATTTTTGCAGCTTAATATTCACAGACACTAGTCCATATCGTGTTTTGATTTAACTGTACTGACCTACCATTGATTTATCCATCCAAAATTGAGCAAATTCCGTGAAATTCTGTTTTTAAGACTGGATTCTGCCGTTCCGTCCATGTTTTCCACATCGCGGAAATCATAGGGCCCTAAACCTTATAGTGTTTTAAGAAAACAGTAAGTTTTAAACATGAGTTCCGTTCAGCCAGATGAAGCTCAAATCAAAGCAGTGGAATGGCAAAAACACGCAAGTTTTGTTAAAAGTTGGCCTTATTTTAATTTGAGCATGGTGTTGTATGCTGTATCATGCGCAAGACGCTACACAAGATGCGAGTGGTCAAAGATGTCCATGTATTGCATGTTTATATAGAAGAACAATGGAAAAGTAGTGGAAAGTTCAGAGTGAACTGCCCCATGGCTGTAGCGGTCATGCTTTAAAGGCGAAGAATTTAAAGACTCATGTTTTCTGAGAAGGCTTTATCAGTCAAACAACTAAAGCACAGCGTGTTAAAGGGGTCATATGATGTTGCTAAAAAGAACATTATTTTGTGTATTTGGTGTAATGAAATGTGTTTATGCGGTTTAAGGTTCAAAAAACACATTATTTTCCACATACTGTACATTATTGTTTCTCCTCTATGCCCCAATTTGTGAGCAGAGAAATGACAAACAACAAGCGCTACTCTACACTGCTCAAAACTCGCGTTTAAGTCATCAGTGTCAAATCCTTTAAATATAAAACATGTACTTGCATTCTGTGAGTCAGAACAGCTGGCATTGTAGTCTACTCTCTCAGGATCAGGAAACAGTCCTCCATAAAATGCGCTGCACACATCTGAATATTTGGGTTGAACTGTTCTGGAACAGTGTTGTAAATACAACTTAACCACTGATTTCTAGTCGTATCCTCTTTTGGAAGGCCAAACAAAGTAGTTTCACTTTCACAACAAAACACACAGCGTCACACACGGCGAGCTAGAGTGAGCGGTGGCCGGCAGGCTTGCGGCAACCATATGTGATGACCCCGGGCTGAACTCCGCTTCGTCCACGGTGAAAGCCGATCTGGCGATCCACAGCTCGAAGTTGATGTATTTCCTCAGCGACCTGCATGGATCAGCTCTAGGCATGACGAAGCGGATATCGTCCTCTTTTGGAAGGCCAAACAAAGTAGTTTCGCTTTCACAATGAAACACACAGTGTCTTCACGACATGGCGGTGGCAACAACAATACTACAGCGAGAATAAAAGTTACACCTTCTTTCTTTGCGTGAACATTTGGGCGGCGTTATGCAAATCTTCCCACATAGTGACGTAGACATGTGGGGGGGTGTTAGTACGAGCCGTTTTAGGTAGGTGTGGTTGACTTAACTTTTATAAAGAATATCTCTTTGGATTTGAGACTTTAGTCTTTGCAACTTTACAGCTCTTCTTTATGCACCAAGAGCTTGTAACATTCCAAAGAGAAATGAAAAATTTAAATCACATCATATGACCCCTTTAAAGGGGTCATCGGATGCGACATGCACTTTTACAAGTTGTTTGAACTGAAATGTGTGTTGGCAGTGTGTGTACACAACCACCCTATAATGATAAAGATCCACCCAGTGTTTTTTTTTTATCTCATTAAATAATTTCCCCTTTCTCAGATCGAGCCAATCTCAGATGCCTGTCTTTGTGATGTCACACAGACCCAGGTCCCTCCCACGATAGTTGATTACAAAGGCCGTCTTACCTTAGACTCGCCCTGAGTGAGCTGTAAGCTGTCCACCATTGTGTCGACTCCGGTGTTGGGGAAGACAAGAATATCTCCGATTAAGAGATTGAGGTGTTTTGTTGTTGGATGTAATAATGAACATAGCAGTCGTCATTTACTCCAGACATCTGAGCTGCTGAAGACACAGAGGAT